CTGGACCTGGTTGGAATCATTTTAATATTCAAAATGTATTTACTTTTTAAATTAAAACGATAATAGTTTTTTCCAGGTGTTGTTCAGTCTCAACATGTTTAATGTTTTAAAGGATGAACTTCATGTTTGTTCATGTGTTTAAATATTCGTTATTCATAAGAATCCGGTTTTAAATGCGAAGAATTAATTGGAAATATTACGACATTTTTAAGTGTAATCATTATTAGTATTTTAATAACATTTTTAGATATTTGTTTATATATATATATATATATATATTAACCTTTAAGCAAAAAAAACAAACATTTTTCATGTTAAACATTATTAAGAGTTTTCAGACTTTTAGCCAAATAAATAATTAATCATTTTTGGCCTTTATTAATATTTTTGCATATTTCATTAGCATTTTTCGACAATTAATTTTTTCAGTTGAAATTTTTATTCCTTTTTTTAAGAGTATTTTTCATTCTTTTGTACCTCTGTTTTGCCTCCTCTCCATCCTCAGCTCCTCTGTTTCAGCCTTTAGCAGTCTGATCAGTGATCAGAGGATCAATCAGGACCTTCAGTCAGTGATCAGCTTCTCAGTTTATCTGAAACAAACTGATCGACGAACACAACTCCTCTGAGCTGCTCAGGATCACCTGACCTGTCCCTGAGTGATGCTGCTGTAGCTGTAGACTCCTGGGGGATTCCCATGATGCACTGGGCTCCCCTCATGTTCAATGTTTTGCTCTAAAAATAGAATATCAGCACAAAGTACTGAAATACTAAAATCCTGACAAACATTAACTGTGAGCTCTGACAGCAGGATGTTTTTATTAAAGATAAACAGAAGAGACGTGGTCAACAAAGTCTCATCAATATATCTATCATCTATCTATCATCTATCATCTAGATAGATAGATGATAGATAGACATATATATAAATATAGATATGAGACAGACAGACAGACAGTCTCTGATGACCTCTCATATTTTATCTGCAAAGCAATAAGCCTCAGGCCGCCCTGCTGCAGTGCATTATGGGAACAGCAGGTCCTGCACAGCCCAGTGTCTGCCCTTTAGGGAAATGAATTCATCTGAGTGTGTGTCTAAGTGTGTGTGTGTGTGTGTGTGTGTGTGTGTGTTACCTGAAACCGCCTCATGTCTCGAGGGTTTCCTGCATTTTTCAGACAGTTCTGGTTACACTTCAGGAAGAACTTGAGGAAGAACCTGCAGACAGACGGACAGACGGACGGATGGATATTGATCAGGTCAGCTTCATATTGATCAGTGAGGAGTATGAACACTGGACATGCAGACCGACTGCATGCTGGATACGTGTCCCGTTGTTTCTCTGGCCTACGTATTCATGCTGTTCTCTTCCCTGATTGGTTACAGAACCTCTGAGCTGACTAACACATGGAGGGACTACTGTCCATGTTCTACTGCCCGGCTCCACTCGGCGTCTCTGTGACCCAGAACATCGGCTCCCAGGAGCACCGCTGCTGGTTCCGTTTCATCTGAACTTCACTCGTGTTTCCTGCGATCCTGAATATGTGGCAGCAGCGTTTCCACGGCAACGCCATGTAAACACACAACACAGGACAAAAAGGCAGGAGATGCACACACACACACACACACACACACACACAGTGTCTGCTGGAGGTTCTGAAGACCCGAGTGTCTGCTGGAGGTTCTGAAGACCCCGGGTTTTTTATACTTAACCTGGAGAGTCTGTGGTCCAGCTGAGCTTCAGTCTGTGGAACCTTCAGTTGAACACTTGGTCCAGCAGACTCAGTTCTGACTGAAGTTCTGCTGGTTCTAGTGGTACCAGAGCCGCAGGTCTCTCAAGGTCACATGAGTGAACTGGAATCAGGTTTAATCGGAACTTTTTTTACTTGATCAGAATCAGTTCTGGATGTTCAGTAGAACCAGAGCAGCTCAGTGCGCTGTGAGCTGTTGTTTGTTCTCCTTCCCTAACTCCTTATCTCCTCCTCTGACTTCTTGTCTCCTTCTCTGTCTCCTCATCTCCTCATCTCTCTCCTCATGTCCTCCTGTGTCTCCTTGTCTTGTCCTCTGTCTCCTTCCCTAACTCCTTATCTCCTCCCCTGTCTCCTTGTCTCGTCCACTGTCTCCTTGTCTCCTCCTCTGTCTCCTCATCTCCTCCTCTGTCTCCTCGTCTCCTCCTCTCTCTCCTCATCTCTTCCTCTATCTACTCCTCTGTTTCCTTGTGTCCTTCTCTGTCTCCTCATCTCCTCCTGTGTCTTCTTGTCTCCTCCCCTGTTTCCTTGTCTCCTTCTCTGTCTCCTTGTCTCCTCCTCTGTCTCCTTATCTCCTCCTCTGTCTCCTCATCTCCTCCTCTTTTGCCTTATCTCCTCCTCTGTCTCCTCGTCTCCTCCCCTCTCTCCTTGTCTCCTCCTCTGTCTCCTTCTCTGTCTCCTTGTCTCCTCTTCTGTCTCCTCAACTCTTCCTCTATCTACTCCTCTGTCTCCTTCTCTGTCTGCTTGTCTCCTCCTCTTTCTCCTTGTGTCCTTCTCTGTCTCTTCGTCTCCTCCTGTGTCTCCTTGTCTCCTCCCCTGTTTCCTTGTCTCCTCCTCTCACTCCTCGTCTCCTCCACTGTCTCCTTGTCTCCTACTCTGTCTCCTCGTCTNTTCCTTCATACATTTAACATGTTCTCTCTGGAGGCTCAGCATTATTCTGCTGTCAGTCACTGTAATGAGATTCATCGGAACCTGCAGCGGCGCCGCTGACTGACAGCTACCCAGAATCCCTCAGTGCACCAGAGACCTGCCAGAACCGGAGAACACGCCTTCGTCATCATCCCTATCATCATCATCATCATCATCATCATCAGCCTGCTCCCACAGTCCAGGGGATCAAACTGTCACCTTCATCATCTTCAGTCACACGCTGAAACGTTCTCACGGGTTCTAAAGGATCTTTCTGTCATCGCTGACCCTGTCTGCTCTCAGAACAAAGAACCCCACACACTGAGACTCAACCTGAGGTTGGAGGCCCTGCATGAGGCCTGAAGATGGCCTGTAGAAGATTGCCTGTAAACTGTAGCTACTGGTGACTGAGAGGCGTTCAGGGAACATCCAGAAACTGTAGTGTCTACTGGTGACTGAGGGGCGTTTAGGGAACGCATGGAAACTGTAGTGTCTACTGGTGACTGAGGGGCGTTTAGGGAACATCTAAAACATCATCATGTTTGCAGATGATACAACTCTGTAGTTTCTAAACCTGGACCTTGTGTAATTTTCTACCTTCACTCAGATCCACGTGACAAAGCTTCCCTCGTACTAAAATAGACTAATTATTAAATGTTTAACCCAAATGTTGACTCCAAACAAACATGGGCCAAGGGCCGGTTGTACCTGTCAGACTGTTTAAATGTCACGACTCCTTCACATGTTGTCAAATCACTGTCTCTGCATTTGATGGTTATTTATTATGTGTGCAGGCCTTTATCTAAAGTCCAACACATGTAGCAGGGCTCCAGACTAGCATGGTGCTGCCAACTCTCTTTGCTGGTCGTACCAGCTAATGATCTGGTCGCCCCCTTGCTTTGGTTCAGCTCTCCCACAGCTGTTGATGCACCGTGCAGCTGATGAACAGCTGTTTCTGTATAACTCAGTGATGATGTAATGATCTTCAGTGATACAAGACCTGACATTTGTAAAATGTTTGAACCTGAAAATATATTTATTCTGTCACCAGTCCTGTTCTGATATCAGTCATTAGCTGAACACAGGCTAAACAACTGCTGAACATGTGTATGAGTTGATGCTACAGTTTACCGATGTTCCCTGAACGCCTCACACGCTGCTCCGGTAGATGCTACCAGGTGTGTTCAGTGCAGCTCCTCTGACAGGTGAGCGACCAGACACTAGTTGGAAAACAGTGGAAAGCGCGTTCTGCACGAACTGGCTGAAGCTAAAACGTTTTCTCTGAGCAGCGTTTCCAGCAGATCTTCTCATGAACCACGTTTCCAGGAGCGGAGCGCATGTTGAAGGTCCGGACCACTGGTCACCATGTTCATAGAATCAGAACCGTGATCGCTGTTAAAATGTGGACCTCCAGACTGAATGTGGGGCGACTGTTTGTTCCTGACTGACTCAGTCCAGATCTGTCTGCCTGCACCTGGACACTTTACCACCAGGTGTGTCGGACCTCTCTCACCTCACTGCTTTCTTTTTTTTAACATACCGGCGATGTGTGTTTGTGTCACTGGAACCGTGGAACCGACTGTTTACCGTCAGCCAGAGACAGTCTGAGTCACTGAGGACCAAATCTGACTGTTTGCAACCACAGTACCCGTAGCAGCAGCTACCTGGAGCAGCTACTAGGAGCAGCTACCTGGAGCAGCAGCTACCTGGAGCAGCTACCTGGAGCAGCTACCCGGAGCAGCAGCAGCTACCTGGAGCAGCAGCTACCTGGAGCAGCAGCTACCTGGAGCAGCAGCTACCTGGAGCAGCAGCTACCTGGAGCAGCAGCAGCTACCTGGAGCAGCTACCTGGAGCAGCAGCAGCTACCTGGAGCAGCAGCAGCTACCTGGAGCAGCTACNTGTTCTCTGTGTGTTCTCTGCGTGTTCTCTACGTGTTCTCGGCGTGTTCTCTGAGCTCTGATTGCGTCCTTGTCGTGTTCTCTCTCCATGTTCTGTGTGTTTGTTTGTCTCAGCTTGTTTGTTTACAGTGTTAATCGTTGTCTGAGTGTTTGTTGTGCGTTCTCGTTGTGACCTTTCCGTGTTGTTCCGTCTCATTACTGCGTGTTCTAATCGTGTTCTCTGCATGTTTCCACGTGTTCCTCATGTTGGCTGCTGGGTTTTAATGAGACGATGATCCTCAGTGAAAACAAACAGGTTTGTTTGTTTCTGTCGGTTTTAATTATGGACCCAAACATTTCAGATCTCATTTACATATTGAGAATAAATCCTGCCAATGATCAGCTCTGTCGGTTCCAACAGGAAGCTTCTATCTGCTGTTGTTATTTTAAGGACTTCAGTTAATATTCTTTGGATATTTCAATCCGTTGGAACATTTTTGAGACATTTTGCTCATTTCCAAGAATTTGATTCACATTTTTCTACATTTATCGAACAAAATTTCTTTTAAACAGAATCTTGCGACGTTTTGAACATCCTGATCCTAATTTTATAACTTGTTGGTGAATGTTCTTTTATTTTTGACATCATATTAATATTGTTGAGACACTTTTTTACGTTCTTACATTTCAGAGGAATTTTACTGATATTAAATATTATTGTCGACACTTTTGGAAATTGGTTTTCTTCCTCCTCTGATTTCATTTCTGCAGTTTGTTCATTCACAGTTTGATTAATACAGTTTATTATCGTATGAAAACTGATTTTCTGCTTATTAAATTAAACTAAACGTGGCAAGGCGCAGTTAAATCAGCTGTGTGTGTGTGTGTGTGTGTGTGTGTGTGTGTGTGTGTGTGTGTGTGGTCAGATGTGTTTGGGCCTGTCGCTCTAATTATCACCAAATGCTGGACAGGTTTTTGCTAATTAGCATCAGCGGCTGGTTTGAACATGGAGCTAATTAACAGCTATTATGACTCAAAGACACACACACACACACACACACACACACACACAGTAACACACACACTGATTGCTGTTTTATAGTCGGGACAGAACGTGTGATTTTTGCAGACTTATGAAAAGTGTTGAGTTCGTGTCAGATGGCATCACAGGCTGCACAACGGAGCACCAGCTGTTACAACAGACACACACAGTAACACAACGACACACTCACAGACACACACAGTAACACAACGACACACTCACAGACACACACAGTGAACTGAGTCTGTGTGGGTCAAGGAGAGACCTGAGTCCAGATGTGTCCCAGCTGTTGGTTCTGATCTAAAGTCTTGTTTATGTAAAACAGCAGCAGAACAGCTTCTGTCAGTTTGTTGCAGAAACATTCCTGAAGAATGTTTTTGCAACGTCACATTCAAACTGAACAAACAACACGAGTTCACAGTTCTGGTCAGGTTCGAGTTTCCATAGAAATTGGGCTCAAGGTTCTACAAAACTGGTTTTAGACTGGTTTAGACCAGTTTTGGACTGGATTTAGGCTGGTTTGGAACCAGTTTTAGACTAGTTTAGACTGGTTTCGGACTGGTTCTGGACTGGTTGTAGACTGTTTTTTTCTCATTGTTAATCGTTGAACCTCTGCTGCCAGACCGGAACCGGAGTTTCTTA